AGGATGCAACCAGGGATGAGGAAGAGAGAGGGCACTGCGGCTGCGCATCCAGACTTCTTCCAAACTCCAGCCTGTTGCCAAGACCCTGGACACGTCCCTAAACACTTTCTGCTCACCTGTGTCCCTGCACCTGCTGGGAAGTCCAAGATGCCCATCAGTGCAGGAGGTGGGAAGTGGGATGGAGAAAAAGAGGAAGCAACAGAGAGAAGCTGAGCACCCCACAGGTGTCAGGAGCCCGCTGGGCATATTACACACACGGCTGCACCACATCCTAGCACCAGCAAAAGAAATGAGTGTTTTTGCCCTCATTGTAAAGATCAGGAAACTGAGGCTCAGAGAAGCTCAATTACTTCTCCATGATCATACAGGTACTGAGTGATGAAACCAGGATTCAAACGCAGGTCAGTCTGACTCTAAGACCTGTCTCTGTCCACAAGGCAAATGTGATTTGCTGCATGCACAGCTGCTACTTGACCTAAGCACTACAGATTCAAAGATTAGACGCAGTCTCTTTTGTGAGACTCAAAGGAGATAACGTGGGAAGTAAGCACGGTAGGTTGTATTTTCCCAGAATGGCCCCATGCCCCCTGACCTTAGGTGGGACTCTGTGCTTGTCTGGCTTGGTGAGTAGAAATGATGCTGTCAGACTTCAGAGGCTGAGGAGGGACAGTCCTGCCACCATGCTGTGAGTCACCCAGGGAGAGGAGTAGAGCTTCTGGCAGCCAGTACCACTGGCCAGAAATGTGAGTGAGCCCTCGTAATTCCATCTGATGCCCAACACAGACATCAGGGGCAGACAGGCTGTGCCCAACTGCACCCTCTCAGTCCCTGGCACGCAAAATCTCTGAGCATCATGAGTGGCTCCATCCTGAGTGATGTCATCATAGTGACGCCTCTAAGTTCTGGGGCAAGTGTTTACACAGCTATAGTAGCTGGAATGAGAACTTTATAAACTGTAAACTGCTGTCCACGTGTACAATGCTATTAGTAAAGCTGAGTTTGGCATAACAGGATTGTGTCAGTATCTGAGGAAGTCGACTTGTGTCTCAGGCTGGATTCCTCCCAAAAGCAGAAACTGCAACAGATGTTTGTGTGCAGGAACATACGTTTATGAAAGACCCACGGGCTCAGGCATAGGGGACTGGGAACACGAAACTGGGAAGGAGACTCGGCCAGTCTAAGGCTGTGTAGTTGAGCTGACACCGCTGTGAGCAGCTGAGGCTCAGTATCATTAGAGGCCTTCTGAGGAACCTGCAGAATGAGCCTCAGGGCTGTGGGGAGAATGTGGCCACCCATCCCCGATTAGCTGCAGGTTGCCCCCAGAGAATGCTAATTCCTTGCACCTGCCGCTCTGCAGCTATCCCAGCACAGCTTGAGCAGCTCTGCCTGGCAGAGGAGCCCAGGGACGAAAGCTAAATCAGGCACTGAGAGATTACGGTTGGGCTGACAGGCTGTGAAATGGAGCATAAAAGATGACCGACACAACGTGGCATGAAATAATCCTCCAGGCAATGATTGCATCGGATGTCCTGGATAGAGGCCCCCAGGGCTAACTTCTGCCTGGTCGGTCACTTTGCCCACTAGCCTGCTCGGGCCTCTCCAGTTCAGCCTGCGCAGTTCCAGACCTGCCTGGGCAAGGCCCTAGTGTGCTGGAAGCCACCATCCGGCAGAGAGACCAGCTGCATTCTCTGGGACCTGCAGGTCATCTCTGGTCATCACAGTGATCCAGGGGAGGACCTGGAACCAGGGCACTCCCTGCCGCTCAGGGGCCAGGCTCCAGCAGTGGATTTCCAGCTTCAGCCCCTCAAAGCAGCATCTCTGGAGGCTGGCGGTGCCCAGAGGACCATGCATTTTGGAGACTGGGGCTTGAAAAGCAGCCTTCTGAAGGAAGCCAATGTAAAGGGTGAGTTTGCTTTGTTCAGACCCTTGGGTGGCGGTGGTGAGGAAACCTGCTGGAGCAGGTGCCTGAAGGTATGGGCTGAGCGTCTAGAGGTCTTGGATCCAGGATGGGGCTGAGGCCCGGGCCAGACCTTAGGCCAGATGACCTCTGCACAGCCTGTATCTCTAGGAACCTGGTCTGCTGGTCAGACCCCTCTGCCCTGCTCTTCTTTGAGACAGTCAACTCCATCACTCACCCTCTGGGGCATTTAATTCTTAGCGGTCTTTATTTTATTTTATTTTATTTTAAGAGACTGAGTCTCATTCTGTTGTGCAATGGCATGATCTCAGCTCACTGCAACCTCTGTCTCCCAGGTTCAAGTGATTCTCATGCCTCAGACTCCCAAGTAGCTGGAATTACAGGCACATGCCGCCGTGCCTGGCTAATTTTTGTATTTTTAGTAGAGATGGGTTTCACCATGTTGGCCAGGCTGGTCTCGAACTCCTGACCTCAGATGATCCACCCACCTCGGCCTCCCAAAGTGCTGGGATTACAGGCATGAGCCGCTGCAACCGGGCCTTAGCAGTCTTATCTCAATGGTGTGAAATACAGAAGCAGTACCACCGAAGAACCTCATTTCTTTTTCTTTCCTCTTACATGGCATGAGGGCTTCCCCATCTGCAAGTGGGGAAGGCTCTGTGTCCCAGGCCCCCGTAGCTCAGAGAGGGAAGGGTACTGATCAGCATTCTGGGGTGCAAGGAAACACGTTTCCTGTGAGAGCAGGGAGGGGCTACACCCCGGCAGAAGGAATTTAAATGTGGAGAACTTCACAAATTACACCCGTATCAACAACTGAGCACCAGTGCAGACCAGGCGTTGAGCTTCCTGTTGGAGATGTTGAATTGGAACTTGCAGGGGCTAGCTAAGAACCCAACCCCCTGTGCTCTCCCGACATCCTTCCTCCTTCTTCATCCCAGGGTGGCACATGGCCCTCAGCTGGAAGGAGGCCTTGACTCTGCACTGGTGCCGGTTGTTCTCAGGTTTGCCCAGAACAGAGGGGTTTTGCCTTCCAAGATGCAGGACTTTCAGTGCTAAAACCAGGAAAGTCCCAGGCAAATCAGAAAGTTTGGTCACTGTAGGAGAGTGTGCTGGGCCCTCAAGACGCTCCTATTTGAAGGAGACAGGCTCACAGACAGGCAATCACAGCAAAGCAGGTGAGTCTAGGCTAAGGGGCTCACACAGGAGGGAAGGCTTCCTGGTACAGGTGCACCTAGGCTGAGTCTTAAAAGCAGGATATGAACCTTCAGAGAAAAGAAACCATTATAAAAAGACATAGGAGCAGGGGGCACACGAGGCAGACACCGGGCCTCCCAGGATCTAGTGAGACTTTCTTCAGGCCCTGCAAACCTCAGTGATGCAGATTCTCAGGCCGGCCTGTGCCCCCTCCCCTAGGGCTGCACCCATCCTTTCTGGAACCCACACAGGCTGCCAATTTTTTGCACACTGTCCAGGCTGGCTGGTAGCCTTTGATGTGCACTCAGGGAACTGGACAGGGTTATCCTGGGAGGGGTGGTGAGCCTGAGACCATGAGGGAAATCTGCTTTCTTGGGGGAAGAGGTGGGTGTGGGGCAAACAGTGGTGTTGGAACGTTCCCAGAGCCTGAATTTGGAGACCTTGACCCGCTGCAGAAATCTGTGCCTAAGGAGGGGCATTCTAGCCACCCTCCCACCCCCACATTACATGGTGACGTAGAGAGTGGTGGGCACGTAGGTCAAAGAAGTCTGCTCTCAGCTGTTCCCAAGGACTTGTGCACCATTTGTATTTATTTGTACATCCTGGTTTGGAGCAAAATGTTCTGGTACAGACAACTGTGGCTGCATGAGCAACTTTTAGAATTTTAGGCCAAAAAGTCCTATCTGATAAGATCCAGCCACGTTACTCTGGATGCCCATCAAACTCTCATCTTCTTGAGCGCAACCCAGAGGTTCACCTTTAGACTCCCCAGCCCTGGAACACATCATAGGTCAAAGCTGGTCCTCAAAAAGGATCAGAGTTCTCCTCTCGATGACTGATAAGGCATAAGGTGGTGTCTCAATGTGTGCCTGAGCCTGTCTGTATCACAACTTCCTAAGCAGCTCACTATAAGCACTGTTCCAAACCATGTTCTAGAAATATTGGATCGTAAGCACTAGGGGTGGAATCAACATTTTGAACAATCACCTTAACATATTCTGCTTAATGTGAAAATTCTCTCTTGGGGGCAGTTGCTATCTATTTTAATAAAATACAAGCTTTGTGTCACGGAAATTAATCTGTACTGTAAAATTTCCAGGATCTGTCTAACACATGTTTCTCAGCCTCAGCATGAGTGACATTTCAGACCAGATGGTTTTGTCCTGTGCATTACAGAATGTTGACCAGCATCCCTGGCCTCTAGACACCAGTAGCACCCTGCAATCATGACAAGCAAAAATTTAAAAAAAAAAATGTTACCAGACATTGCCTAGTCTCCCCAGAGGGAAAAATCCACCCCCTCTAACAAAAGGGACTTCTTCCTAAAATCTGACCTCAGTCCAGCATGAGAAGGGTGCCTCCCCGTTCTTGGAATGACCTCCACCAGGTTCTGCCCACGCTGACCCCGGCCCTCCTCACTAATCTCCAGCTGCACATGCACCGAAGCCACTTCCCACCCTCACTCCAGCCCTCACTCCCGCCGGCTCCCTTCCCATCGCCCGCCCTCGCACCTCATCACTCTCCATTCCTGCCCCATTGCCTCAATGCCTCCTGCCACCCACCCCTGGCAGGACTATGGGAGAACACAGCCCACCCACTTCCGGGGAGTGCTGATGGGGCTCCAAGGAGATGGCCTCTGGCGAAGAATTCTCCTTTTGTAAAAATGGGACGTTTATTTTTGTTTTGATTATAAAGTGAACATGGTCATGGCTGAAAATCTGACAAGTACAGAAAAGCATAAAGTAAAGGCTGCACAAATTCCACTGCTCAGCCAGCCGACGCTGACATCTAGGAGGCATCCTACTTTGACTCTTACTGACCCCTGGTGTGAGGGCAGGGGTCCCTGGGCAGACAGAACCCCTGACCAAGGACAACAGGAGGCATTTGCTCTTCTAGGGTATCTGTTTTATTCTTATCGGGGTGGCTCAGGGGCTCCAGGCGGCCTGTTTCTCAGGAGATTCAGCACCTAGTGTCTCCTGCCTCCCTCCCAAGAATCTGCTCCTGCAGGTGGAACATCAGAACTCGTCCTTGATGTCAAAATGGGGCTGATCTTCAGGTTTGAAGTCCAGGTTGGGGCTGCCGTCCTCGTTGAGAATTCTCCGGGCCGTGTAGCCGACGATGGGGTATTTGGCTTTGTACACTTTGGTGAAGATGTCCTCCAGGGCCTCCAGTTCTTTGGCTGTGAGACCCGTCTTGGGGAGAAAAGCCCAAGAAAGACAGGGGATGGGATAACTGGATGGTGTCTGGCACTGGCCTTGCTCCATCCCTGCCTGGCCCTCCCACCTCCCTAACGTAAGAGAAAAGATATCTCAACAAACCAAATAATGGACAAATGACCTAAGAGACGCCGCTGTGTGTGTGCTGGGGCGGGGGGTCGTATAACATAAGGGGAGCAATGCTTCATCACGCTTTGCGGTTTGACTGATCAGGGAGGAAGGGCTCCAGAGAGCACCGTGACCATGCCGGTGGGGGGGGGGTGGGGGGCGGGGCGTGTCCTCCTGCCTCTGCATTCCCCTCCTCTCCCCTGATTAATCCTCCCTCTCTCTACACTGCTCCCATTATACATTTGGCACCTTCCCCTTTCTTAAGTTCTTCATTTGTTTTTGTGATGTTGTGGCTTATGAGTTTGGCTCATCTCAATTTATCTCAATGTCACTTTGATATTGAATACAGTTGGGGGAAATTCCAGCCTTAGTATTGGGATTATTTAGACCTTGAATAGGTTTTTTTAAAAAAAAATTTTTTTTTTTTTTGAGACAGAGTCTCGCTGTCTCAACCAGGCTTGAGTATAGTGGCGCTATCTCGACTTACTGCAACCTCCACTTCCTGGATTCGAGCAATTCTCCTGCCTCAGCCTCCCAAGTAGCTGGAATTTCAGGCACGTGCCACCACACTCAGCTAGTTTTTGTATTTTTAGTAGAGGCACGGTTTCTCCATGCTGGCCTGGCTGGTCTTGAACTTCTGATCTCAGGTGATCTGCCCACCTCAGCCTCCCAAAGTGCTGGGATTACAGGCATGAGCCACCATGTCCAGCCTCAAAATTTTTTTAATGCTATTTTCTCCTTCACAGAAATATGAGCATAGAGGGAGCGCTTTCTTCCCAACCCAGTTCATCCACAAAGCTATGAAGCATGGCAAGGGGAATGGGTCTCAGAGACTAACAGCAAGGCTGTAAGGGGCTGAGGGGACGGGGTGGCAGGAGCAGACCATAAGGAGCATTAGGCTGTAAAGCAGGTTGAGGCCAAATTGTGATGATCATTGAGTTGGATCACAAGTTCAGAAGAGTTTGGATTTGACTCTAGGCCACAGACAGCCACGGAAGGTTTCGGAGTAAGGATGACACAGTCAGATAATCTATTTCAAGAAAACGGCTGGCCACCACACCAAGCAGACTGAAGGGCAAATAGGCTAGTTAGGAAGGCTTGCTCTTGCCCAGAGGAAAGAAAAGAAAAGAAAGAGAGGAGGGGAGGGGAGGGGAGGGGAGGAAATGGGGAGAGAAAAGAAAGAAAGAGAGAGAGAAAGAAGGAAAGAAAAGAAAGAGGAAAGGAAAGAAGAAAGAAAGAATGAAAGAAAGAGAAAGAGAAATAAAGCAAGCAAGCAATGGACAAGGAGGTAGAGCATCTTGCCAAAGGCTTATAATCTGGCTCACAGTGTCATGGGTGAGGTCTGCAGGATCCAAGGACATCTTGGCTACCCCTCTAGTGGAGTCCTTCCCGGTTAAGGCATTGTAGGGGGCTCCTCGTCCATAAAACTCTGTAATAGGGAGGAAGGAAGAGACATGAGCATGGGTTTACATGCCGAGTAACCAGGCGCCTCCAAGTGGGGAGCTCCCAAGGCCCTCACCCAGTCCTAAAAACGGCTCCAGGCCCACGGAGAGGCAAAACAATGGTGACATAAAGTCCAATAAGCCACCCCAGCAATTAGGTTAGATGCCACTCATTTTAAATGTGGAATAAGTCACACATGGAGGCTGAGTGGGAACTTTCAGAAAATACAGAAAGACAATAGTACCTACTGACCTCTTTTTTTTTTTTTTTTTTTTTTTTTTTGAGACAGGTCTAACTCTTGCCCAGGTTGGAGTGCAGTGGCATGATCATGGCTCACTGCAATCTCCACTTCCTGGGTTCAAGTGATTCTTCCACCTCTGCCTCCGGAGTAGCTGGGACTATAGGCAAGCACTACCATGCTCGGCTATTTTTTGTATTTTTTGTGTAGAGATGGCATTTCACCCTGTTGCCCAGGCTGATCTTGAACCCCTGAGCTCACACGATCCGCCCACCTTGGCCTCCCAACGTGCTGGGATTACAGGTATGAGCCCCTGTGCCCGGATCCCTCTCTTGCTCTTTTTTTTTTTTTTTTAACATAAGTGTTAATACTGATAAAATAGTCTCTTAAAAATATTAAAGATGCAGGCTGGGTGCAGAGGCTCACACCTGTAATCCCAGCACTGTGGGAAGCCAAGGTGGGCAGATCATTTGAGGTCAGGAGCTGAGCCCAGCCTAGCCAACATGGTGAAATCTCACCACTACTAAAAATACAAAAAATTAGCCGGGCATCTTGGAGTACCCTTCCATGATGGTGCATGACTGTAATCCCAGTTACCTGGGGGCTGAGGCAAGAAAATCACTTGAACCCGTTAAACCCAGCAGGTGGAGGAGGTCACATTACCACACTCTAGACTAGGCGACAGAACAAGACTCTGTCTCAAAAAAAAAAAAAAGATACAAAAGAAAAATGTTCCATCTTCTTAAATATTGGTGGAAGCCAAGTCTATTTCCATTCAGCATGTTTGTTATCAAATAATAGATGAACCACTACAAAACTACCTCCAAGATACTGTTTGTAGTTATATTAAATGGCACTAAAGTGTTCTGTAATGTTCTATAACGCCAAATCTTTAGTAAAGAACACTTCTCTCATTGCTTCAACTAGAGTAAATCATCATTTGAATTTGATTCTACCCAGGTAATGGAAAGCCATGGAAGGCTTTTAAATAGGAGTATGTTATAATCAGGGGGGAAAAAAACGCTGCTGAGGTAAAACACTGACAAAGATTAACTCAATCTGCTCATTTAAAATAGAAGGAAGACCGGGTGTGGTGGCTCACGCCTGTAATCCCAGCACTTTGGGAGGCCGAGGTGCGTAGATCACAAGGTCAGGAGTTCAAGACCAGCTTGGTCAAGATGATGAAACCCCATCTCTACTAAAAATACAAAAAAATTAGCCGGGCGTGGTGGCAGGCACCTGTAATCTCATCTACTTGGGAGGCTGAGGCAGGAGAATCACTTGACCCTGGGAGGTGGAGGTTGCAGTGAGCCAAGATCACGCCACTGTACTCCAGCCTGGGTGACAGAGCTAGACTCTGTCTCAAAAGTAAATAAATAAATTAAATGAAAGGAAAAGGACTTGCTCAACATTCCCTCCCTTTCCTCACACCTCCAGGTGCTGCTCACTCTGGCTACTGTGCTCCCTGGAAATAAAATTCAAAATGCCACAGCACTTACCCTTTCCAGAGGTGACATCAAACACCACTCCCTTCACTGCCAAGTAGATGGGCTGATCTTCCTAGAAAGCAGGGGAGAAGCTGTGAAGAGGAGGGGAAGAGCTGGCTCTTCCAGTGTAAGTTAGTAAATTCTCCTCCCATCACAAGCTGAGCAAAGAGCAGGGGGTCAAGTCCCAGTGGCCTTCTGTTAAGCCTGGTCCTTGGCAAGCTCACCACCTGCCTGGGGAGCATCATGCCCACACATAGGAATTTGGAAAAGTCATAAAGTCTCATGACAAGAATGTGGCAATCCTCCTTTATAAAGGAAATCAGGGACCAGGTGCAGTGATTGACACCTGTAATCCCAGCACTCTAGGAGGCTGAGGCAGACAGACCATCTGAGGTCAGGAGTTCAAGACCAGTCTGGCCAACATGCGGAAACCCCATCTCTACTAAAAATACAAAAATGATCTGGGTGTAGTGGCACATGCCTGAATCCCACCTTCAGGAGGCTGAAGCTGAGAACTGCTTGAACCCCGGAGGCGGAGGTTGTAGTGAGTCAAGATCGTGCCACTACACTACAGGCCGGGCAACAGAGCAAGACTCTGTCTCCAAAAAAAAAAGGAAAGAAAAGAAAGGAAATGAAGCAACTTAACAGAGATGAAAATTCAAAAGAACAGTAAATGATGAATTATTTATCAGTCCAAATTTGCTTTCTTCTTTATCAATGTACAGACACAGATGTAACTGATATGAATGAGATCTAGTCTATATTTTGCTTCTTATGGGTAACATTCCTTCATGTAAACACTGCCACCGAAATGACTGTCACTTAAACAGCTCCATGGGGCCCCATCTTTCTTTTTTTTTTTTTTTTTTTTTTTTTTTTTTTTTTTTTTTGAGATGGAGTTTCACTCCTGTTGCCGGCTGGAGTGCAATGGCACAATGTTGGCTCACTGCAACTTCCACCTTCCAGGTTCAAGTGCTTCTCCTGACTCAGCCTCCTGAGCAGCTGGGATTATAGGCACCCGCCACCATGCCCGGCTAATTTTTTGTGTTTTTAGAAGAGATGGGGTTTCATCATGTTGGCCAGGCTGGTCTCAGACTCCTAACCTCAGGTGATCCACCTGCCTTGGGCTCGCAAAATGCTGGGATTACCAGCATGAGCCACCGCACCCGGCCTAGAGACCCATCTTATATTAGTGATATCATGTACTTATTTGTTTAGGTAGCTTTCTATTATGGGCATTTGGGTGGTTTCCAATCCTTAGAACTATAAATGGTAGCATTATGAATACTATGTTTCTATAAATTACTTTCTAATTTGGTGACTTATTTCATTGAGGCTTTTATTTAAAAATTGCTCTCCACCCAGTCAGTGCATAGGAAAGTGACCTATTTCAATATATGGAATTCCTGGGTCTAAGTATATGAACAACTTAATCACTGTTTATATTTTATTAGTTTGTCCTGTGACAACATTAAGCCATTTGTTGTGCTAGAGATATGTAAGCAATGCTGTTTCCCTACGGTTCTACTAACAATGGGCTTTAGACTCTTTTATGGCTCTGTCAGCAGGCATAAAATGTTACCTCCGAATTTCCCCACCAAGAGTGAATAACACAGAACCAGATGGCATGACTTTTCTAACTTCCATCAGGTTGGGCTCAGGCTGGGACGATGGGTACAGTCCCAAGACACCCAAGACCAGACCTCTCTTTTGTCTTGGTGCCATCAGAGGTGCAGGGGCATCAGCCAGGTGGCTCACAGCCCAGGCGAGGGTGGGAGTCGAAGCTGGCTCCACAGGAATCTCAGGCTCTGCAAGCACCTGCTGCTTGGCCTTCTCTTTAGTAGGGGAGCAGTTTAGGGTTCTTGCTCTTGTGGAGCTTACGGTGAAGGGTTTTCATGACCTGTTTAACAGATAGAGGAACTGAGGCTCAGAGAAGCTAAGCAACTTGCCCAAGGAAACATACCTGACTACCTCATAACCTGCCATGTGAGGGGCCTGCTTCTCTACCTGTCATATGAGGGTAATGCCTACTCGCCTCAAGGGAATGCTGAGGAAAACAGTGAATGTAGCACCTGGCAGACAAAACGCAGGAGCTCAGTAGAAAGTTGCCTTTTATTATTCCCAAACTGGCCCCTAAAGACAGGCCCTGGGCCGGGCGCGGTGGCTCAAGCCTGTAATCCCAGCACTTTGGGAGGCCGAGGTGGGTGGATCACGAGGTCGAGAGATCGAGACCATCCTGGTCAACATGGTGAAACCCCGTCTCTACTAAAAAAAAATACAAAAAGTTAGCTGGGCATGGTGGCACGTGCCTGTAATCCCAGCTACTGAGGAGGCTGAGGCAGGAGAATTGCCTGAACCCAGGAGGCGGAGGTTGCGGTGAGCCAAGATCGTGCCTTTGCACTCCAGCCTGGGCAACAAGAGCGAAACTCTGTCTCAAGAAAAAAAAAGACAGGCCCTAAAGGACTGCCATTGACTCTAGACACTTACTCCACCTCACTCAACAAGGGTCATTTGAAACGGCCTGTCTTTCCTTCACCAGGAGTCCTTGTTCCTCAGTTTTGATTGCTTATCAAGTGGTGTTATGTATTTACATCAATTTAAAAAATGTATTACAGCTATCATTTAACACCACTATTTTGTCGTACTTTCATTCTGTGGCTTTTTCCTTGATACTTCTTTTATTTTTTTCTTTTTTGAGACAGAGTCTCGCTCTGTCGCCCAGACTGGAGTGCAATAGCGCAATTTCAGCTCACTGCAACCTCTGCCTTCCCAGGTCAAGTGATTCTCCTGCCTCAGACTCCTGAGTAGTGGGGATTACAGGCACATGCCAACATGCCCGGCTAATTTTTGTATTTTTAATAGAGACAGGGTTTCGCCATGTTGGCCAGGCTGGTCTCAAACTCCTGACCTCAAGTGATCCACCCACCTTGGCCTCCCAAAGTGCTGGGATTATAGGCGTGAGCCACCGTGCCCAGCCGATACTTATTTTCTATGTGCAAAGAGCCATATAAATATAACATTCACATACATAAGATAAACAAAAACATGTATCTTATTACCACTCTTTTTTTTTTTGAGACAGAGTTTCGCTCTTGTTACCCAGGCTGGAATGCAATGGTGCGATCTCGGCTCACCGCAACCTCCACCTCCTGGGTTCAGGCAATTCTCCTGCCTCAGCCTCCTGAGTAGCTGGGATTACAGGTACGCGCCACCATGCCCAGCTAATGTTTTATATTTTTAGTAGAGACGGGGTTTCACCATGTTGACCAGGATGGTCTCGATCTCTTGACCTCATGATCCACCCGCCTCGGCCTCCCAAAGTGCTGGGATTACAGGCTTAAGCCACCGCGCCCGGCCTATTTTTTTTTTTTTTTTTTTTTTTTTTTTAAGACAAATCACTCCTTTGCCCAGGCTGCACAATCTTGGCTCACTGTAGCCTCCGTCTCCCAGGCTCAGCCTCCCGAGTAGCTGGAATTACAGGCATGTGCTACCATGCCCGGCTACTTTTTTTTTTATTTTTAGTAGAGATGGATTTTCACCATGTTAGCCAGGCTGGTGTAGAACTCCTGACCTCAGGCAATCCACCTGCCTCGGCCTCCCAAAGTGCTGAGATTACCGGTTTGAGCCACTGCATCCAGCCAACACTCTTCTTTTTTGGAGGGTGAGGGGATAGAGTCTCACTCTATCACCAAGATGGAGTGCAGTGGCACAATCTTGGCTCACTGCAACCTCTGCCTTCAGGGTTCAATTCTCCTGCCTCAGCCTCCCAAGTAGCTGGGACTACAGGTGCCCACCACCACGCCTGGCTAACTTTCTGTATTTTAGTAGAGACGGGGTTTCACCATGTTGGCCAGGATGGTCTCAATCTCCGGACCTTGTGAACTGCCCACCTCAGCTTCCCAAAGTGCTGAGATTATAGATGTGAGCCACTGTGCCTGGCCCACTCTCCTTTTTCTAACAATAAAATCTGTATCTCTTCCTTAAACTATTTACTTGAAGGTGTAAGCACTAAGAGAAGTCAAATTAATGGGGAAGAAAAGAATGTTTAGCATTTTTGAGGCCTCCGAGTGACATAAATACCCTGCATGCCAGGCAGAGGAATGGCTTTATCAGTAAACAGAGCATGCTGGGGTTGTGAGTTCTGACCCCATGTAGATAGACATCCTGGACAGCACAGCCTACAGGCACAGACTCTCAGGCCTGAGAAATGGCAACTTAGAAGGTGGAGGGTGGGTGGAAGGCTTGGGAGTATAAATGCAGACATGGGAATAGAAGTGACACAGAGACAGCAGGCACCGTGGCTCACGCCTGTAGTCTCAGCACTTTGGGAGGCTGAGGTGGGTGAATCACTTGAGGTCAGAAGTTCAAGACCAGCCTGGTCTTGGTGAAAGGTGAAACAAAATGAAAACATGTCTCTACTAAAAATACAAAAATTAGCTGGATGTGGTGGCAGGCACCTGTTAATCCCTGCTACTTGGGAGGCTGAGGCAGGAGAATTGCTTTAGCGCAGGAGGCAGAGGTTGCAGTGAGCCAAGATCAAGTCATTGCACTCTAGCCTTGATGACAGAGCAAGATTCTGTCTCCAAAACACACACACACACACACACAAAACAAAATTAGCCACTGCACTCCAGCCTAGGTGACAGCAAGACCTTGTCTCAAAAACTAAATTTAAATAAAATAAAATGACCTTGTGAGGCAGATATTACTATACCCATTTTTTACTACAAGCTGCAAGAGGTTGGCGTTCAAGTTTTCAATATGGAAGAATTGCCCTAGGAAGGGCATAGGCTTACAATCAGACAGGTATGAGTCTGAATCCTGACTTTTTATTTACCAGCAGAGAAACTGTTGACAGGTTACGTAGACTCTAAGCCTCAGTTTCTTCACCTGTAATCCCAGCTACTCAGGAGGCTAGGGCAGGAGAATCACTTGAACCTGGGTGGTGGAGATTCCAGTGAGCCAAGATCGTGCCACTGCACTCCAGCCTGGGCAACAGAGTGAGACTCTGTCTCAAAACAAACAAACAAACAAACAAAAACAAGGGTCTTTTCTCAGTCCTCATCTTGCAGTTCTGGCACTGCTGCTGTAACCTCAGTGGTGAACTCTCTCTTTCCTTAGATTTTGTGCCAGTGGTCCCAAAAATCATCGGGTCAGTTGGAGTGTCCCTAGAAGATTCCAAGGACTCAGCATATAGTCTACTCACAGCTGGGAAGGAAAAAGAGGTTGAATCTAGGTGAATCTACGTGCACGCTTCCTATGCTCTCCCCTCCCATGAGGGGTCACACAGAGCACACACTCCCCCCGACAACAACAAAATTTGACAATGGCCTCTCATCCTTCTGGCAGAACATTCTTTTGCTAGAGAAGCCCATTAGACTCAGCACCCAAGGCTTTCACTGGAAGCTGGTCACACAGGGACCCCTCTGCCGAGCATGTACAGTGTTCAATGCCACCTACACCATCTGTATATACAGCCTAGGCAAGTGAGCCAGCCGTATTGGGTAGAGAAGGATGGAAATCCAGACACCAGACAAACCTCACCCTTGCAAGCAGGCTTTTCTAAGGACAGCAGGCCTGCCAGTGTTAACTCTTTTTTGCACAGATGCCCAGACTTTGAACCATCTGGTTCCCTCTGCTGCCCCCAAAAAGGCACCTTTTAACATCCTCACATCCCAGTCATGTCCCCCTCCCTCCGTGTCCTCACTGACTGACTCATGGTTCTAATCAGCCTCTTCTCAAATGATGCCCAAACTGGCATCACTGCCTAAAGGCTAGGTTTCTGGTACCCCCTTGCAATGCTAGTCCATATAAATCCAATTAACTCAGGAATTAGGGAGACCAGGCCAGAGGGTTTTGAAATACATAGGGCCTCTTCCTGCTCTACCACTAACAGGGGGCAGGTCTGTTTCCTTATCTGTAAAAGCAGGAGATATGTTCCTGCCAGCTCTGAAATGCTATGGTACTATGACCTCCCCCTAGTTCCGTTCCCTGCTCTGCATATAGTATCAGCCCCCTGTGGTCCTTGTCAGGAGCAGTATCTTGTTGTCACATGACACAGCCATCGTACTGGAACCCACCAACCCAGGTGGACAGGTGGGTGTGAGTTTTCTGGACGCCTCTAGACTATTGATTGACGTGTGTGAGTATGGTGGGGGGAGATCTCTAGTCTCCAGTCCACCCTCTGCCCTGGCCTCCAGCTTTGGCAGAGCCCCAGGACACAGGCACTGAAAGTGGGTTTGAGGAGTCCGATGCAGAGGCGGCCTGGGATACAGGAGCAGGAAAAGGAAGTGCAGGCAAAGACTGGTTTATCCCAGGACCTTCCCCAAGTCCCACCTAACGCAGGGAGCGGTCTTTGCTTCCCTCCCTCGGTTCCCCGCCACGCCCCACTATGCGTGGGCACAGTAAATGCCTCGGCTGAGGCTAACATGAAAACCAAAAAGTTCTGAGGTCTGTACGCAGATCATCAACGTAAAGGCAGCTAGAGGGGGAATTTCCCAGGGACCGAGGTGGATGCTCAGGGTGGGGTGTGCGGGCAAAGCCGGGCGCTCCGACTGCTGAGGACTCGCCCTCACCCCTCGGCCACCCGTCCGGGCCTGGAGAGAGGAGGCCCAGCGGGCCCGGGCAAAGTGCGGAGCCGAGACTCCGGGAGCGGGCGCCCGCCGCGGGCCGCGCGTCCCCCAGGGGGCCTCCCAGGTCTTCGCCCGGCTCGCCGCAGACCGGACGTGACCCCGGGTACCTCGGCCCGCGCCGCCCTCGCCTACCTCCTCCCCGCCATAGCGGGCCAGCTCCTCCTCGGTGAAGAGCCGCACCGGGGGCCCCCGCTCGGCAGGGCGCGGCGTCTGCCCGGCCCGGGCTGTGGGCAGCCCCGGGGCCAGCGCCAAAACCAGGGCCAGCGCTGCCAGCGGCCACAGCCGCCGGCCCGGCGCAGGGCCCGCCATGGTGAGCACGCAGCGCAAAGAAAGGGCGGCCAGGGCGGCGGGGCCGGAGCGCGCCCAGAGTCCCGCCCCAAGCCCAGAGCCGCCCCGAGGGCGGGGAACCGAGTACCCCGGACCTCCGCGAGCCTCCGGCGCCCCGGGTGGGGCCGGCCGGGCTACTCGGCCGCGCAGCTGGAAACCTGGGAACTGGGATTTTACCCCTAACTCCTAAATCCGAACTACAGACTGGAAGTTACCAAAAAATGTCACAGCAGTTCCTTGATCGGGTACAAAGATGACAGAGCCCGACATTACCAGCACCTAGGAATGTATATTTCTAAAATAGGACCTCAACTGTATTAATTCGCTTTTATTTTTGGCTGATTTTTTTTCTTCATAGTTTTGTTTAAGTTTCTGGTTCCCAAGAGATTTTTGCAGAGTAGGGTGCTATCACCGATATGCCCTGAAATAATAACAGCTAACGTTTGTGCAAAACTTTGCTCATTACTTTATGCAACAAATATTTTTTTAGTACCTCCATGTACCAGGTCACTGGGGGACTCATCGGTGAACAAGACAGATCCATGCCCACGTGGAGCTTACATTGCATGGGCAGATAGACAATAAGTAAGATGCTAAGCATTATGTTAGATGGTGGTGAATACTAGGGAGAAAAAGCAGGGCAAAGAGACAGGGAACACTGGCAAGGCCGTTTTATTTTATTATTATTATTTATTTCTGAGACGAAGTCTGTCGCCTAGGCTGGAGTGCAGTGGCGCAATCTCCGCCCAGTGCAACCTCCACCTCCCTGGTTCAAGTGATTCTCTTGCCTCAGCCTCCAGAGTAGCTGGGATTACAGGCACCCACCACCATGCCCAGCTAATTTCTTTTTTTTTCTTTTCTTTTCTTTCTTTTTTTTTTTTTTTTTTTTTTTTTTTTTTTTTTTTTTTTTTGTATTTTTAGCAGAGATGGGTTTCACTATATGTTGGCCAGGCTGGTTTCGAACTCCTGACCTCAAGTGAACCATCCATCTCGGCCTCCCAAAATTCTGGGATTACAGGCGTGAGCAATGGTGCATGGACATTGAATGGTTATTTTAAAGAGGCAGATTAGGAAAGGCCTCACTGAGAACATGGTATTTATATAAAAATCTACGGGAGGCGAAGGAGGGTGTCTAGAGGGAAGAGGGATGAGGACCTTTGACTTTGGTCAAAGGATCAAGCACATAACGAGGGTGCCCAGCTTGCTGGGGGAACAAGGGAAGGGAAGGTGGTAAAAGGGTGGGGTGGATCTTAGGGGGCCTTGCAGGTTATTTTCAAGACTGGCTTTTACTCTCAGTAAATGTTATAGAAGAATTAACAGAAGAGGGGCCTCATTCCAGAACTGAGAGCAGGTTCTTAGATCTCCACAGCAAAGAATCAGGGCAAGTCGCAGAGTATAGTAGTTAAAATAGTTTATTAGAAACTACTCCATTTCTAATAATAGTACTACTCTATATCTGAGTAGCATCCTTGCTTGGAAGTAGTACTAAGCAAGTAATGCTTATATAGGATCACCCCTGCCTTAAATGTAATGCTTGCCTTTATAGGGCTAAAACTAGTGTACTTTATTACAAAGGCCTATGATCAGCTTGTGACAGACTATTAGTATAGTTATTCTCTTGTGTAACTTGATTTCAGGGAGAATTTATGGGTGTACTGTTATCTTTAGAGTGAAACTGAGCTTAAACTTAGTTTTAACTTAGTTTTAAATCAAGAATCCCTTTTTCCATTATCTCATTTCCTCAACCATAAACATCTTGCGATGAAGAGTGCCCTAACTTCCTGGGAAAGTCGCCCTGCAGGTTTGGCTTTATCTGGCCTTTATTCGAGATGGAGTCATTCTGGTTAGGACACTTCTGACGTAATTCCCTCCTCCTTTATGCAAGGAGACCCTTAATCCTAAGGGGTGCAGAGGGACAGAGATCCATCTTCAGTAACTTCTTCAAGCTGAACAGAAGCAATGATATTCCTGCCTAACCATTAGGATCCCTTTGGCTAAAGTAGAGAGCTAGCCAGTCAGAAGGCATCTGTATGATGAGGACCAATCATATATAATTCTAGTCCTGGACAAAGGTGAAATCTAGAAAATTATTATGTTAAATTTAAAGAAGCATTGAGTGAGCTTAACTTTTATTCCTACATAAAAAGTACGATTCAGTATATTCCACAGCAACAAAACAGAATGAATAGAATTATCCCAAGCATGCTAAACAAAAAAAGTTTCCCCAGGACTAGGCAGTTGTTAGAACCAGGCTGATACAGGGTTAACTGACAATGGCAGTGGCAGAGATGTGGATGTCTAATTCTTGTCAGATATGGACAACTGACAGTGTCAATGGCAGAGATGTGGATATCTAAGTCTTTTGTGGCCTCGGTAATATTATGTGAATAGTCTGGAATATATACATAACATTCTGTTTTGATTACAAGTTCCCCCTTTACGCTACTGTTAACATGTCCAGAGCCATAAGGTTTCATAAGGCTGTCTAATTTGAAATGTTTCTTCAGTCAAGAGGGTAAGGTCATGGCCTGTATTATTGAAAACTGCAGCTGTGTTTAGTTATGGCTTTGGCTTGAAGCTCAATGTCAATTGTGGCTGTCTGTGGGGTGAAGATAGCCAATGGGTCAAACCACCAAGAAGCCTGCTTTTGTCACTTATGATGAGCTCTTACAGTTTCCCAGTTAGAGGAGAGATTCTAATCTAGTGAGGGAGGATATATCCTGGAAGATGAGGATGACCCCATGTACATCTTCCAGTCCAATTATAAGGCATGTATGGCCAACCATGTGACCCACATGCCCTTAATCAACCTCAAGTAGAAATATAAGCACTTAACCATAAAGACTTATCTTGCCATCCCACCCGCATTTGGCTAGTTAGAAGAAGGGTGCAATTACAGTGTTGGGATAGTGACCATTCCATGTTACAGGTTTCAGTGTGGCAATCACTGCTATTGTGTCTTTGAAAGCATAGGGACACGCTGCCTAATACCTGAACTTAGACAGCTGTCATCCATTCATCATGTACAGGATAACTTAGAGTGGAGTTTAATTTTTTAATCAAATAGAAAAGAGGCTTCTTTGTTTCACTGTGGGAAGGGAAACACTGGTCCCTGTGTTTCTATACTAAAAGGGAAAAAGGGTCGTTTGTTTACCCCAATCATCATAATTTCACTATATGCTCATAGTAGCTGGCAGGATGTGCCAGGGCAGCCTGAGGTGGAGGAGGCATTAGTTCCCCTGCATATCCAGCAGTTAGTTTTGTTGTGTAGGGAGGCTAAAATTTGTGCCCATTTGGCAAAGAGATTGCTTCTTAGCTGATTCCAATACATGCGCAGAATTAAGATGTTAATCCAAATCTTTAAGTTATCCATCCTTCTTGTTTCTTCTGAGCAGGCACCAGAGATCAGTGCTTGGTACACAGGAATAAGTGAGATCAGTCTCTTGTGTTCCGGCAGCCCTGTGGGACTTCATAAGAAATGGGTTTAATTTGAGAACAATGAACCCAGCTGCTTATTCCTTGAAGTGTAATTGCAGTTGGGGTACTAAGGAGTACTTGATGGGGTACTTTGTACAAATACTTTGGGGAAAGTTGATCTGCTGGAGACCCTTCCTTCCAAGTTTTTAATAGAACCCAGTTTCCTGGCTGGATTATAACCTGATTTTCTTCCTTAGGTGGGGGGAGGAAGTCTCTGATTTCCATATTCAAGAAGAGCTTTTTGCACCTGACCTAAGTTAATAACATAGTTCTGTAATTTGAAGGTATCTATATTTACCAGGAAGTCTGCAGTTAAGAAAGGACTTCCATACATTATTTCAAAAGAGCTGAGCTGAAAGTTTCCCTTCGGGGCAGCCAAAACTAGCAACGAGGCCACAGGCAATAGAGACAAATAGGTTTCTGATGTCTCCTGGCATAACTTGGCAAGAAACTCTTTAAAATTTGATTGGCCCTTTCTACTTTTCCTGCAGACTGAGGCCTCCATGCTGAATGAAGGCGACACTCAATTCCTAGAGCTAATGATATACTTTAGGTTCTTGTTGATGTGAAAAATGGGTCATTGTCACTCTGTAAGCTTCTAGGCAGCCCAAACCTAGAGATTATTCCCTTTAATAAAAATTTAGAAACATCAGTTGCCTTTTCAGACCAGGTAGGAAAAACTTCAATCCAACTGGTAAAGGTATCAATGAATACTAATAAATATTTGAATCCTGGCCAGGCGTGGTGGCTCACACCTATAATCCCAGCACTTTGGGAGGCTGAGGTGGGTGGATTACCTAAGGTCGGAAGTTCAAGACAAGCCTGACCAACATGGAGAAACCTCGTTTCTACTAAAAATACAAAATTAGCTGAGTGTGGTGGTGCATGCTTGTAATCCCAGCTACTCGGGAGGCTGATGCAGGAGAAACGCTTGAACCCGGGAGGCAGAGGTTTTGGTGAGCCAAGATCACACCATTGCACTCCAATCTGGACAAGAATGAAACTCCATCTCAAAAAAAAAAAAAAAAAAAAAAAAAAAATTGGAATCCTTCTCATGGGGATATTTTAATATAGTCTATTTGCCAATCTTCACCTGCGTATATTCCCCTGTGCCAAACGGGCTTTACTAAAGGAGGAGGTAAAGGTTGATTATTTGGGTTATTTTGGACACATAGTTCACAGGCCTAAGTCCCTTGTTTTACTGTTTTAAGAAGATCTTTTCCTATAAAAAGATAAGACATTAATTGAAATAGTCATTTGGGAAGACTCATTTGGGAAGACTCTCTTCTACTTCTCTTCTCATGAGAAGAGACATGCATATGTTTAACTACTTTCCGTTGATCAGCTTTTAGTACATATAGCCTGTCATTTTCATCAGTTAGCCATCTGGAAGTATTTAAAGTTAATCCATAGGTTTTAGCTCATTCCTGTTCTTCTTTAGTATACTCTGGCTTTATCATCACCAGGGCAGTGGATATCAACATGCCCACAAAGTTGATTGGCTCCCTTAATGCAGCTGCAAAAGAATTCCCTTTTATTATAGTGACATCTCCTTTCTGATGCCCCCTGCAGTGACAC